TATATGTTAACTCAAGAAAACCAAATAAACCTGTCCAACCCAACCCACCTACTTGAAAAAAAATGCCTAAAAAGTAAAATGAACCTAATAAATATTAGTGGATAGTGTAACTCTAATTAGTTTGGTGCATTTTAGAAGAGGAGTTTACTCTCCATCCCACAAGAACTGTAGTATAACTTTTCTATGTTATGTTAAATTCACTTTATTCTTTGTAGGATCGACTAATGAGAATTGAATAAAATAATAAATAATTTTATTTATTTATTTGCTTATTATTTAATCTTGTCTATTCGAATTTAGTATAATAGATAATTGGATGACTTTAATTTTAGTTAACAAGTTGTTACAAACCGACCAACCCGACCCAACCTGACCAATACTTGATTGAATTGGGCTGGGTTGGATTGTGTTAAATTTTGATCAAACCGATCATATTGGGTTGGATTTGGGTTGAGGCAAAAATCGAGCCAAGCCAACTCCTAATTAAAACCACGTGTTGTAAAGTTTCATTTATGTTCATGTAAATTAATTATTGCTTTTAGATCTTTCGCACGTTTGCCTATTATAACTAGGGATGGCAACGAGGCGGGGACCATGTTTCCTGTACACGTCTCATACCCGCTTCGGGACAATGACCCTCGTCTCGCTCCCACCTCGTTTACCCGATTAGGCGGGTAATCCCAGCCCCATTCGGGGCCGGACCCCACGAGTATCGGGTTAAGCGAGTTTTTTTGTCATCACTAATTATGACCAATTTCCACGTAGGATACATATTTGATTGATAAAATTCAGAAATTATAATATGATCAACGACATACTCTATTCATGTTATCAAGTGGTTATGTTAGTTTACCAAACATATATTTTGAATAAGATGGTTTTGTATCTCTTCTGAACTTTATAGTCATGCAATCAGTTTTTTCTTTTCATGTCAAGAACTAAAGCAGAACATGATATGTAAACTGAAAGCCGTAAGATCATGGTTATTCAATATTTTGACATGATAATGGTGCCTCACTATCATTAACTTTTATATTTCAAACCCAGCTGACCTAAAACAAGAATTTGGTGAGGGTT